AAAGAACCTTTATTTTTGTTGTACCATTAAGCAGCAGACATCTTTGAGCATTAAATACCATGGTTGACAAATCAAAATCCAGTTTTCCATTAGAGCCAGGTAAATTATAGGTTATATTTTAAGTCATAGTCATGCTGTGTTTTTCTAGCTCCTGGATAGATGACAGGTCTCTGTGGATCTATTTTGAGCTCCATCATTTCAGCCTGATTGAAGTCCCTTTTATTTAGCTTACATCACTACGAAAAGCCAATCGGATGCATGCTCGTTCATACAATCTGATGCTGGATGAATTCAGATTCCTCTCAGACACTCAAGAGAGACTCAAAAGGTCACAATCTTTTCAGGAAACGATCATCATAACCCGTTCTTTACCACAGGATAGGCAGTGGCATTATATTCTAGCTGAATGAACCCAGTCTGAATCTGTCATTCACTCTGTCATGTAAGCTCTTTCTGTGCCGTGTAAACTAGCATGCCAGTGCACAGCCTTTTCCACAGTTGGTGCAGATGCTTTTAGTCTACTTGATAGCCGACATGTTGCAGACACACAGATACACAGTCAAGATGCTCTTGTTCACACTTCACTGCATCTACACAACATGAGTCACATACCGCTCTCATGAACTCCAAACATTATAGCAATAGAACTCACACAAGGCATGAGGTGAATGCAAAACACTTCATTAATAGAAATCCATCAAGGATTTTTTTTTTTTTTTATGAAACTGCTTGGGGGAAGCTTTTGTAATCAAATATTTACTCATAAGTGATTGTCCACAAAAAAAAAAAAACAGATTTCATTCTCCTCTCTGATTGCTTATAATGGGAATTAGTTCTGCACGATTAATCATATTGCAATCGCAATGTCACGCCTATTCATTAATATGATGCAAAATGCTGCGATTTTATGAAATAAATGTGGGGACATGACAACCCATTCCCTCTGAGAGCTGTTTGGCCATTTTCTACACCGCTAATAAAAAGACCAGTCAGTTTCAGTTGAGGCAGTGGCACGTATGCTCACGTCGTGACTTTTTCCCTTGTGCAGCGCGGAGAACAGGTGAAGACGTATGTCAAGCTGGTGGACACAGAACTGGTGGCCAGAACAAAAATCTACCTCTGTTATACAGTATGGCGATATTTTGGCTATAAGATAAATGACACTGAGCAGAGAGAGCAGGGCTGCCAACTCTCACTCATTCAGCGTGACTCACACATTCATTTTCTCACTCAGAGAAAAATCAAAGAGAACACTCGACATTGAAACCGACAGACTAGACAGAGCAGGTTACTTTTGATAGGAAACAGATTCTCAGCTCTCAGATTTTGTCTTTTTTTTTTTTTTTTTTTTTTTTTTTTACAAAATTCAAACAATATATGTGTTGGCGCTTGTAAATGTGACGTGACAGATCATGGTCATAAACAGTACACCTCTTACTCTTTACTAGCTAATAGTAAATAAACACGATATAACAATATGTGTGTTGAAAGATACAGTACAACTTACTGAAATGTTTATGCCTCGTACATAATATCGATCAATCAGTGTTTTTCAACTATTTTTCAACAATGTCACATAACGTTACATTTACATCAGGAAAGCCATTTAATAGCACATTGGGCTAGACAAATTATACACTGACCAATATATCAACGCAACACTTTTGGTTTTTGCTCCCATTTTTCATGAGCTGAACTCAAAGATCGAAGACTTTTTCTATGTACACAAAAGGCCTATTTCTCTCAAAAGCCGTGTTTCCACCGCAGGAACTTTCCCCAGGAACTAGGAACTTTGGGGTGGTACTCGGTGTGTTTACACCGCAGGAACAAGGGTCTAACGGTCCCAGAACGTCCCTGCTGGCGAGGTAGTACTTTTTCAGAGTTCGGGGTGGGACTTGTGAGCTGAACATGCTGATTGGTTCTTACCACTTGTTCTTTCTGCCAGATGGCACGCGTTGTCCCATCCATCTCATGGTCAATGTCCGCTGATAACAAACGTCTACTTTTATATCTAGCATTACAAGCTTTCTAAATATGCTTTGGGACCGGTACTTAGTCCGCGGTGTAAATGCAGTAAGCAAGCGGTCTGGGGCAAAAAAAGTTCCTATGAAAAAAGTTCCTGGGACAAATACTTCCTGGTAATTACAGTGGAAACGTGGCTAAATATTGTTCACAAATCGGTCTAAATCAGTGGTAGTGAGCACTTCTCCTTTGCCGGGATAATCCACCCACCTCACAGGTGTGGCATATCAAGATGCCACTCTAAATCTTGAAGTAGATCTAGATCTTGAATACAATAAGTAAATATCAAATTGCGCTGTTTCATGAAAACTGTCAGGTCATTTTGAGGGCTTTCAGACTTTGAAAATGCATTTTTAACACGCATGTGATGTGGCTTCCTATGACCCAATGATATAGATCTTCCCAGACTCCCATGAAAGGTTTCCCAAGCTTTCCAAACGCTTGCCGTCCATCGTGGTTGAGCCCACTGAGAGCGGGGAGGTAGAGAGCGGGGAACTCCGCTGGCCTCCTGATGATCTGAGCCCTACAGATGACCCCAGAGACAAACAGGCACAGGCTGCAAGTAAGCTCATATAAAGCATGAAAAGAACAATTTATTAAGTTTACTTTCGTAACTTTGTTCTCATAATAGTACAATTTAATATCATATTTTTTTTTTCTTTCTTAAGCTTCAATCTCAATTTCTTACACTTACACTGTTACACACCTTGGGTCATTAGCGACCCACCCTATATATCTTTTCTTGTTATATTGTATAAGTATATATACATTTTATATATATAAGTTTATTTTTATATAAAATAGATATTATTATAAATATAATTAACCCTATGTTTTGTTTTCTTGTTCCATTGTTTATAATGAATTGATTGAGGAATACTAAGAAGGTTGATGTCTAACTTTAAAAAAATAAATGAGGAGGTGTGAATGACATACATGCATATGCGTATAAGGGTTAACATGCCACTAAAACATTATTATACTATGTAATATTAATACTCTATACCATCCAAAGGTTTGGGGTTGGTTTGATTAAAATAGAATAAAAAGTGTGAAATATTTTCAAATAAATAAAATAGATAAAAATAGATTCCTGTGCTGGCAAAGCTTAATTTTTAGCATAATTACTCCAGTCTTCAGTGTCTTATGATCCTTCCGCATGTTGATTTGATGCTCAAGAAACATTTCTTATTATTATCATCAATGTTGAAAACAGTTTTTGCTTAATATTTTTGTGGAAACTGTGATAAGTTTTTTTTTTCAAAAGATTTTCAGAAGAACAGCATTTATTTGTAACATTTAAATGTATTTACATTTTTGATCAATTTAATGTATTTGCTGAGTAAAAGTATCAATTTCTTCCATAAAAATCTCACTGACCCCAAACATTAAAAGAGCAGTCCAAGTTAAAACAATTTTTTTTTAAATTATATATTTTAATTGCAGTTTGACACATTTTGAAATGCATAAATGTGGGAATTCGATATTGCCCATAAAGTGTTTTGCCCGGTTGCAGCATCAGATACAAATGCATTTGCAGGGATGTTTGAGTATATTGTATTTGTATTTCAGGTGACAAGCTCACAGAAGACAGCAAAGACGTCGGACCGGGGACGGAAATCTAAGAGGCAATGGTTGGCACTACTCCAGCCAATCACTGTGAATGTCTTCATTACGGACAGGAGTGAGTGGGAGACTCCACCAGTTAGGTCTGCCTTTCATCCACACTAGAGCCGCTCACCTGTTGACCTCCACTCCCCTAGGTGGAGCCGAGGCCTGAGAGACTTCTTAACTGAACTAGCTCATGTGCCAAACTCTAGTGGTAGTCAGCTGCAGTGATTGAGTTTTAAATGATCTCCAATAACAACACCATGATACCTGTTAGAAGTCACCTACCCCCTATCCCTGCTAAATTATAGATTAGCATATATTTATTTATTTGATTTGGACCAAAGTCTTTCATTCCTTCCTATACAAAGGATCTTTATTTGATGTTTATCAGCATACTTTAAGTGAAAATGGATTTCAAATGTGAATTAACTATTCCATAATGGCTACTTTGCCTACTCAATGTGCAGTAGATCTCTGTGTGTTTACACATACAAACAATATAGTATGGTTTCCTTTTTAACACACTTTCCAGATATACACGTTTGCACATATTCTTTGCCATTCTCTGCTGCTTATTTACAAGTGTTCGTCAGAGCTGCTGTAAATGTAGCTTTCTTTGCCTTAGACATTATAATTTTAATGTCAAATCAATTCTGTTTGTATGTATATATTTGTACCCTCATTATTTTCCTCATTATATGTATGTGTTACTTTCCTTAGGCGAAACTCTTTGGTGCTTCAGAGTCTGTTAATCACTGTATTCTATTAAAAATCTACTGCTATTCTTTTGATGTTTGAGTATTGGTCATAAAATATAAATAAAACTTTACAATACGGGATTAATTCATGCTTTACTAATCCACAGATAATACTGAATTAATTTGTACTAATGATTATCTAAGCTATTCATTAATGATTACCACATTAGGAACTAATTAAGAGTCTGTAAGGTCAATGTATTAGTTCATACATGAATTGTTATTAATTAGTGGTGCTTGCAAAGCAACACTATTGTTATCCTGCATACTTATTATTAGTGGTGCTTGCTGAAAGCAAGGCAACACTATTACTATTGTGTTTTTTGAGCCGGCCCAAAAGTTTGGCACGCTACTCCTCCCGCAGTTTTTGTCACACACCCATGAATGAGGTCTCAAAACGTGCGGAATATTCGGGAATGGTGTGCTATGACTTTTCTAAGCGATCGGGGGTACGATGTTCGCCCGAAGGGCGAACAAATTTTCCAAAAATCCCATAGACTTAACATTGCGACAAACTTTGACGACTCATAGCTCCGAGCGAGAATTTCACAGAAGCCTGCGATTTACCACATTTGAAGAGGCTGATAGGCTCTGTAAGAACATACCTCACAATGGGGTAAAAGTTGCACCCCTGGGGGGCAGGAGCTGCCCAAATTTTCCCCCATTGACTCCCATGTTATTTATTATTCTTCTTATTATTATTCTGGCCACTTTTTGGTTCGCTACTCCTCCCGCAGATTTTGTCACAGACCCATGGGTGAGGTGTCAAATCGACCGGCTCATTTAGGAGAGGTGTGCTATGACTTTTCTAAGAGATCGGGGGTACGATGTTCGCCCCAGGGGCGAAAAACAGCCAAAAAAAAACCCATAGACTTAACATGGCGAAAAAATTTGACGAGTCATAGCTCTGAGCGAGGATTTCGCAGAAACTTGCAATTTACCACATTTGAAGAGGCTGACAGGCTCTTTAAGAAAATACCTCACAATGGGGTAAAGGTTGCACCCCTGGGGGGCAGGAGCTCCCCAAATATTTTTCCCATTGAAATTTTCTAGTATAGCATTTTACTATTCCAGGAAAAAGTTTGGAGCACTCCTACGTCCACATTTTTTGTCACAGACCCATGAATGAGGCATCAAATCGTGCGGCCTATTGAGGAGAAGTGTCAAATGGATTTTATAAGAGATCAGGGGTACGGTGCTCGCCCCAGGGGCGAACAAATTTCCAAAAAATCCCATAGACTTAACATTGAGACAAACTTTGACGACTCATAGCTCCGAACAACGATTTCGGAAAAATGTGTGATTTTCCACATTTGAAGAGGCTTGCAGGCTCTGTAAGAATATACCTCACAATGGGGTAAAAGTTGCACCCCTGGGGGGCAGGAGCTGCCCAAATTTTTCCCCATTGACTTCCTATGGTGAAGGACGTCCCATCAAATGCATGTGTTTTTCCTACTATGGTAAATTGCATAGGGATTTTGTATTGAACATAGCTCTGGATCACAGTGTCATAGAGACAAGGGGGCGGGCTCATTTTACTCAGACGACCAATCAGTCTCTCAGGATCATTGTGATGCTATCAAGCCACGCCCTAGCAACCATATAGAGCACCTTAGCAACAACTCCCATAGACTTCCATTGAAAGAGATCAAAGGGATATCTCCGGATAGAAGTGTCATAGAAACACAAGGGTGGTCTTGTTTGACTCGGGGTAGCAAACAGCCAATCATGAATCACCTCAACAATTTCTGGCCACACCCTAGCAACCATTATCGAGCACCTTAGCAACCAAATTTTAAAGAGGGATATCTTCCATTCTGAATGTCATACAGGCTTGGGAGTTGTATTATATCAATTATACTGACAAGCAGCCTTTGGAGATTCATGATTGGCAGCTGCCAAGCCACTCCCTAGCAACCAAAAAGAGTACCCTAGCAACCATTTTGCAAGGCCTACATCTCTGCATCAGAACATCGTATAGAGATGGGGGTTGGTTTATACATTCACATTGACTTTGGAGCTTCATGATTGGAAGCTGCCAAGCCACTCCCTAGCAACCAAACAGAGTACCCTAGCAACCGTTTTGCAAGACCTATATCTCTGCATCAAAACATCGTATAGAGATGGGGGTTGGTTTATCCATTCACATTGACTTTGGAGCTTCATGATTGGCAGCTGCCAAGCCACTCCCTAGCAACCAAACAGAGTACCCTAGCAACCATTTTGTAACAGCTATATCTCAGCATCAGAACATTGTATCGCGATGGGGGTTGGGTCTTTTGACTCATGCTAGCACATAGAACTTTCAAAATGTTAAACATGCTAGCTGTGAATAGCTACATGCTAATATTGATTAGCTAAGTGCTAAATCATGCCATGAACATTATAAAAACTCTATAGTAACCATATGTGAACAATACCAACCACCTAGTAACAACATAGCAACCACCCAGAACACCCTAGCAACCACCTAGCAACACCATAGCAACCAACCAGAACACCCTAGCAACCGCCTAGCAACACCCTAGCAACCGCCTAGCAACCATCCAGAACACCTTAGCAACACCCTAGCAACCACCTAGCAACACCCTAGAAACCACCCAGAACACCCTAGCAACCGCCTAGCAACACCCTAGCAACCACCTAGAACATCCTAGCAACCACCTAGCAACACCCTAGCAACAACCCAGGAAACCCTAGCAACCACCCAGAACACCCTAGCAACCACCTAGAAACACCCTAGCAACCACTCAGAACACCCTAGCAACCGCTTAGCAACACCATAGCAACCACCCAGAACACCCTAGCAACCACCTAGCAACACCCTAGCAACCACACAGAACACCCTAGCAACCACCTAGCAACCGCCCTAGCAACCAGCCATAACACCCTAGCAACCGGGTGGTGAGTTTTGCCACTGCAAGCACCACTTCACATTTTCCTCTGGAAATGTACATTCTAGTTAGTGGTGCTTGCTGAAAGCAAGGCAACACTATTACTATTGTGTTTTTTGAGCCGGCCCAAAAGTTTGGCACGCTACTCCTCCCGCAGTTTTTGTCACACACCCATGAATGAGGTCTCAAAACGTGCGGAATATTCGGGAATGGTGTGCTATGACTTTTCTAAGCGATCGGGGGTACGATGTTCGCCCGAAGGGCGAACAAATTTCCCAAAAATCCCATAGACTTAACATTGCGACAAACTTTGACGACTCATAGCTCCGAGCGAGGATTTCACAGAAGCCTGCGATTTACCACATTTGAAGAGGCTGACAGGCTCTGTAAGGACATACCTCACAATGGGGTAAAAGTTGCACCTCTGGGGGGCAGGAGCTGCCCAAATTTTCCCCATTGACCCCCATGTTATTTATTATTCTTCTTCTTATTATTATTCTGGCCACTTTTTGGTTCGCTACTCCTCCCGCAGCTTTTGTCACAGACCCATGGGTGAGGCGTCAAATCGACCGGCTCATTTAGGAGAGGTGTGCTATGACTTTTCTAAGCGATCGGAGGTACGATGGTCGCCCCAGAGCCGAAAAACGGCCCAAAAAAATCCCATAGACTTAACATTGCGAAAAAATTTGACGAGTCATAGCTCTGAGCACGGATTTCGCAGAAACCAGCAATTTACCACATTTGAAGAGGCTGACAGGCTCTTTAAGAAAATACCTCACAATGGGGTAAAAGTTGCACCCCTGGGGGGCAGGAGCTGCCCAAAATTTTGCCAAAATTCCCATAGACTTAACATTGCGAAAAAATTTGACGAGTCATAGCTCTGAGCGAGGATTTCGCAGAAACCTGCAATTTACCACATTTGAAGAGGCTGACAGGCTCTGTAAGAAAATACCTCACAATGGGGTAAAAGTTGCACCCCTTGGGGGCAGGAGCTCCCCAAATTTTTCCCATTGAAAAATTTCTAGTATAGCATTTTACTATTCCAGGAAAAAGTTTGGAGCAATCCTACGTCCACAGTTTTTGTCACAGACCCATGAATGAGGCATCAAATCGTGCGGCCTATTGAAGAGAAGTGTCCTATCACTTTTATCAGAGATCGGGGGTACGGTGTTCGACCCAGGGGCGAACAATTTTCCAAAAAATCCCATAGACTTAACATTGAGACAAACTTTGACGACTCGTAGCTCCAAACAAGGATATCGGACAAACGTGAGATTTGCCACATTTGAAGAGGCTGGCAGGCTCTTTAAGAACATACCACACAAAGGGGTAAAAGTTGCACCCCTGGGGGGCAGGAGCTGCCCAAAGTTTCCCCATTGACTTACTATGGTGAAGGACGTCCCATCAAATGCATGTGTTTTTCCTACTATGGTAAATTGCATAGGGATTTTGTATTGAACATAGCTCTGGATCAGAGTGTCATAGAGACAAGGGGCGGGCTCATTTACTCAGATTACCAATCAGTCTCTCAGGATCATTGTGAAGCTATTAAGCCACGCCCTAGCAACCATTTAGAGCACCTTAGTAACAACTCCATAGACTTCCATTGAAAGAGATCAAATGGATATCTCAGGATATAAGTGTCATAGAAACATGAGGGTGGGCTCGTTTGACTTGGGCCAGCAAACAGCCAATCATGAATCACCTCAACAATTTCTGGCCATGCCCTAGCAACCATTATCGAGCACCTTAGCAACCAAAATCCAAAGAGGGATATCTTCCATTCTGAATGTCATAGAGGCATGGGAGTTGGTTTATATCATTCATACTGACAAGCAGCCTTTGGAGTTTCATGATTGGCAGCTACCAAGCCACTCCCTAGCAACCAAACAGAGTACCCTAGCAACCATTTTGCAAGACTTTATCTCTGCATCAAAACATCGTATAGAGATGGGGGTTGGTTCATACATTCACATTGACTTTGGAGCTTCATGATTGGCAGCTGCCAAGCCACTCCCTAGCAACCAAACAGAGTACCCTAGCAACCGTTTTTCAAGACCTACATCTCTGCATCAAAACATCGTATAGAGATGGGGGTTGGCTCTTTTTACTCATGCTAGCAAACATGACT